CACATGGAACATTCTGAAAGATAGACCACATGTTAGGGCACAAACTAAGTCTCTACAAGTTCAAGAAGATTGAAATTATATCAAGCATCATCTCAGACCACAATGGTATGAAACTAGAAATCAATTGCAAGAAGAACATACAAAGACATTTGAACACATGGAAGCTAAATAGCATGTTATTAAACAATGAATGGGTCACTGAGGAGATCAAGGAAGAAATCAAAAACTTCCTGGAAACCAATGAAAATGAAGACACAACAACACAAAATCTATGGGATGCAGCGAAAGCAGTTCTGAGAGGGAAGTTCATAGCATTACAGGCCTACCTCAAAAAAGAAGAAAAATCTCTAATAGACTACCTAACCTCACAACTTAAATAACTAGAGAGCAAACAAAAAGAAAACCCCAGAGCAAGTAGAAGGAAGGAAATCGTAAGGATCAGAGCAGAAATAAACGACATAGAGACCAAAAAAACAATTCAGAGGATCAATAAAACAAAGAGCTGGTTTTTCGAAAAGATAAACAAGATTGATGGACCCTTAGCTAGACTCACCAAGAAACAGAGAGAACCCAAATACATAAAATCAGAAATGAAAGAGGAGAGATAACAACTGACACCACAGAAATACAAAAGATCGTTAACAATTACTATGAACAATTATACGGCAACAAATTCGAAAATCTAAGCGAAATGGACAAATTTCTAGAAACACATAGTCTCCCAAAACTGGATCAGGAAGAGATTGATAACTTGAACAGACCAATAACAACAGAAGAAATTGAAGATGTAATCAAGACTCTTCCAGCAAACAAAAGCCCAGGCCTGGATGGCTTCACAGGGGAGTTTTACCGAACATTCAAAGAAGAACTAATACCCATTCTCCTCAAACTATTTCAAAAAATTCAAGAAGAAGGAAGACTTCCAAACTCGTTCTATGAGGCCAGCATAATTCTAATTCCAAAACCAGAAAAAGACACAACAAAGAAAGAAAACTACAGGCCAATATCCCTGATGAACATAGATGCCAAAATCCTGAACAAAATACTAGCAAATCGAATCCAGCAATACATCAAAAAAATTATCCACCATGACCAAGTGGGATTCATCCCAGGGATGCAAGGCTGGTACAATATTCGCAAATCCAGAAATATGATACACCACATAAATAAAATGAAGAATAAAAACCACATGATAATATCAATAGATGCTGAAAAAGCCTTCGACAAAATCCAGCATCCATTTCTGATAAAAACGCTCAGCAGTGTGGGAATAGAGGGATCATATCTAGACATAATAAAGGCCATATATGAAAGACCTACAGCCAACATCATACTCAATGGGCAAAAACTAAAAGCATTTCCCTTAAGAACAGGAACAAGGCAAGGATGCCCACTTTCGCCACTCCTATTTAACATAGTACTGGAAGTCTTAGCCACAGCAATCAGACAGGAAGAAAAAATAAAAGGGATCCAAATTGGAAAGGAGGAAGTGAAATTGTCATTATTCGCAGATGACATGATACTGTACATAGAAAACCCCAAAGACTCCATCAAAAGTTTACTAGACTTAATAAATGAATTTGGCAAAGTAGCAGGATACAAAATTAACGTCAAGAAATCGATGGCATTCTTATACACCAATATTGATCTCACAGAAAGAGAAACTAAGCAAACAATCCCATTTACCATTGCGGCAAAAAAATTAAGATACCTAGGAATAAACTTAACCAAAGAAATAAAGGACCTATTCGCAGAAAACTACAGGACATTGAAAAAAGAAATAGAGAAAGATATAAAAAAGTGGAAGCACATACCTTGTTCATGGATTGGAAGAATTAACATCATTAAAATGTCCGTATTACCCAAAGCAATCTATAGATTCAATGCAACCCCCATTAAAATACCAACGACATATTTTACAGAACTAGAACAAATACTTCAAAAGTTCATATGGAACCAAAAAAGACCCCAAATAGCCACAGCAATTTTGAAAAAGAAGGACAAAGAAGGTGGGATCACAATACCAGATATCAGGTTATACTACAAAGCGACTGTAATCAAAACAGCCTGGTACTGGCACAAGAACAGACATATAGACCAGTGGAACAGAATAGAGAACCCGGAAATGGACCCAAGGCAATACGCTCAATTACTATTTGACAAAGTTGGTAAGAGCATACAGTGGAGAAAAGACAGCCTCTTTAATAAATGGTGTTGGGCCCTGGCCGGTTTGGCTCAGCGGTTAGAGCGTCGGCCTGCGGTCTGGAGAGACCCGGGTTCGGTTCCCGCTAAGGGCACGTACTTCGGTTGCAGTTTGTCCCCGGCCCTGGCTGGTCGTGCGGGTGGCGGCCACTCGATGTGTCCCTTTCACATCGATGTTTCCCTCTCTCTCTCTTCCTCTCTCTCCTTCCCACTCTATTTGTACAAAGAATGGAAAAATGTCCTCGGGTGAGGATAAAAAAAAAAAATAAAATAAAATAAATGGTGTTGGGAAAATTGGACAGCTACATGCAAAAAAAATGAAACTAGACCATCAACTTACACCATACACGAAAATAAACTCAAAATGGATAAAAGACTTAAATGTAACTCATGAATCCATAAAAATCCTAGAGGAGACTGTGGGCAACAAAATCTCAGACATCATACGCAGCAGAATTTTTACTGACACATCACCTAAGGCAATAGAAACAAAGGAGAAAATGAACACGTGGGACTACATCAAACTCAAAAGCTTCTGCACAGCGAAAGATACAATCATCAAAACAGAAAGGCTACCCACTGTATGGGAGAGCATAATTGCCAATGATATATCAGATAAGGGGTTAATTTCCAATACATATAGAGTGCTCTTACAACTCCACAAAAGGAAGACAAAGAATCCAATTAAAAAATGGGCAGAGTAACTAAATAGACACCTCTCCAAACAGGACATACAAATGGCTAAGAAACATATGAAGAAATGCTCATCATCACTAATCATCAGAGAGATGCAAATTAAAACAACAATGAGGTATCACCTCACACCTGTCAGAATGGCCGCCATCAACAAATCATCAAACAACAAGTATTGGCGAGGGTGTGGAGAAAAGGGGACTCTAGTACACTGCTGGTGAGAATGCAGACTGTTGCAGCCACTATGGAAAACAATATGGAGTCACCTCAAAAAATTAAAAATTGATCTTCCATTTGACCCAGTGATCCCACTTCTAGGAATATACCCTAAGAAGCATAAAACACCAATCAGAAAGAATATATGTACCCCCATCTTTGTAGCAGCACTATTTACAATCGCTAAGATCTGGAAACAGCCCAAGTGTCCATCAGTAGACGAATGGATCAAAAAGCTGTGGTACATATACACAATGGAGTACTACGCAGCGGTAAGGAAGAAAGATCTCTTATCCTTTGAGACTACATGGAGGGACCTTGAAAGTATCATCCTAAGTGAAACAAGCCAAACAGAGAAAGACAAATTTCATATGATCTCACTTATTTGTGGAATATAATGAACATAACAGTTTGAGGAATGGGGTAGTCCCAGAGACACGGAAGCGGGGTACAGACTGACAATCCCCTAAGGAGTGGGGAGGTGGGGGAGGGATGAACCACAGAACTTATACGCATGTATGCATGAACAGTGGACATGGACAACAATCTGGGGAAGGGGCAGGGAGGGGAGGCGGAGGGAGGAATCAGTGGGGGAAAAAGGAGAATCGTCTGTAACAAAAATTAATCAATAATAAAAAAAAAAAATGTAAACCTCTGTCTTTCCATAAAATCACTGGCTGGCGATTCCATTAGATTGGCCTACACGGAGTATCTAAGACCACGTAGACAGACACGAAGACGCACAGGACAGACAGCGAGGGCTGTGTTCCAGAGGCCCTTGGGATGCAAAGGGGAGGGAGGGCCTTATGTAACCTGTCTGCCTCTTGCTTTAAATGCTCCATATGGATCCCATCAAAGTAACTCATTTACCCGATGATTTGCTTGATTTTATCAAAAGAGGCAAACGTAAGAACTTCACAGCGAGGCTTAAATGAGATTTCAGGTTTCCTTGCTCACTCATTCATTATTCAACAAATCTCTATTGACTGCCTACCACGTGCAAATCGTTTGGGCTACGTCCTGAATAAAGATGGGCCCAACCTGCCCACATTCTTCCTCCTCCTCCGCCGGTGCCAGCCCTGGGGTGAAATTCCGTCCTCTGTGGGTATGTTGGTCTGCAGAAAGCCAGGCAAAGGAACGGCCAGCAAGCTACTCACCCCTCCCAGAGAGAAATGCTCAGATCTGGACATTTCCCCTCTGGAGCATCGTCTGTGGCTCCTCCCCATTCTAAAAGCAGCTCATGATGGATCTGATTGGAAACCAGGAAGGTTGCAAGTATTTGCTGTTTGAAATCCGAACTCTGGTGGAAATTGTAAGGTGGTTCACCAGTGTGTCAAGAGTCAGCCAACCCGCCACACTTCCGAATGGAACTGAGGATGCTGAATCTTGAATAAAGGCTATATTTTTCCTGGATAGCTGAATAGTCTTCCTGTGGCCACTCTCACGTCATAAGAAATGTCTCCGAGCCAAAAGCTAAAATGGAACTCATACTACATAGCGAGATAGTAAAGACTGTCTTGGGTGGAACGCACCCCGGAGAACAGCGCCCTTCTAAATCTAATCCGCGTGTACCTCCCTGTGATCCTGAGCAAGCCTGGGCAGTCTCTGGGAAAATGCCTTTGGCGTGTTGAATGAGTCCACCAACAGAATCGCTACGTCAGGATAAACTTGGGTCTGTGTTTTGTTTCTTAAAACCAAATTCCTGCCCTGGCTGGTTTGGCTCAATAGTTGGAGCATCGGCCTGCGGACCAGAGAGGCCAGGGTTTGGTTCCCGCTAAGGGCATGAACCGCAGTTGCAGTTTGTCTCCAGCCCCGGATGGAGTCGTGTGGGTAGCAACAACTTAGTGTGTCTCTCTCACGTCGATATTTCTCTCTCTCTCATCCTCTCTCTCTCCCTCCTGCTCTATCTGAAGATAAATGCAAAAATGTCCTCGGGTGAGGATAAAAACAAACAAAAAACAAAATTCCTACAGAGAAAGTGAATTGTACTTTTTTGGGGGGATTAGTTTTGTTATTGCTATGTTTTGTATTAATCCAGTAAAGTTTCTGTTACAAACGCAAAGCTCTGTCTCTAAGCTCTTTATAAAAGTTAGAGCTCACATTTATTTGCACTTACCAAAGTCTTCCAGGCATTTAAATCCAGTGACTAACACTTCACAAAAACCCTCAAAGTAGGTTCTGCTGTTCTCTGCTCTTTTTGCAGCTGGGGAAACTGAGGCAGTGGGTGGCAGAGCGAGGCCAGGGGTGGGTGTGTGTGGTCTCAAAGACTTGGCTCCTCGCCTCGGCACTTCCTTCTCTTTCTGGCAAAGTTCTTACGATCGGCAGACACAAAGCTGCCCAAAACGTTGGTAAGAGAAAAACACTTGACAAAATTTTCAAATTCATGATGGATGATTTTTAAATCCAAGAATTACCTGCTTTTCCCATAGATAAGCGCAAAAAACCCACCAAGGCCAAGGGGAGAGATACGGTTATATAACCCTGTCTGAGAAACTAACACACTCTTCCCTGAAATCACCTTGGAGCTTCTCATTGCTCTGCGTAACCGTGCTCCACCTTATAACCGAGCTTTGTTACCAATGGCATGTTTTCCAACTCAATTATTAGAAAATATATGCACACATACATTCGCAAAATAAATGCATTTAGTGTCTGGGCACTCATCTTTCAGAATGGTCAAATTAGCTTTTACTTCTCAGCAAAAAAATGTGTATATTTATATTAAAACATATACATATATTTTTAGTCGTGGTGATACCAGAATAGCAAACACAAAAAGAGTTGCGTGCAGAACCTATATAAAATATTTTCTTTGCTCTTTGACAGAGCGTTTCGAATTGCTGTTGTCAACCCCTGGTTGGAGATGTCTCGAGAAAGAGGAGGTGAGTGACCCTTCCTCACCCTGAGCTGGTCCACATTCCAGTTTTGTCTGTTAGGATTACTCATGACATTTGCCTCCAAAGAGCTCTGCTGAACTTCAAAAAGAAAGAAAGAAAACGTCTGAAACCTCCTATTCTAGAACTTCTTATAGTATCCAGTAGATGGCAAACTTTACTGCAAGGAAACAATTCGGCAGACTATAGAAATTGGTCTGGAAATATCAATTCTACTTCGTGTGTGTGTGTGTGCATGTGCTATATATATCATAGAAAATAAAACTATCTAGGCCTGGCCGGTTTGGCTCAGCGGTTAGAGCATTGACCTGCGGTCCGGAGAGACCCGGGTTCGGTTCCTGCTAAGGGCATGTACCTCGGTTGCAGTTTGTCCCTGGCCCTGGTTGGGTTGTGCGGGTGGCAACCACTCGATGTGTCCCTTTCACATTGATGTTTCTCTCTCTCTCTCTCTCTCTCTCTCTCTCTCTCTCTCTCTCTCCCTCCCTCCCTCCCTCCCTCCCACTCTATCTGAACAAAAAATGAAAAAATGTCCTCGGGTGAGGATGAAAACCAAAAAACAATCTATAGTACATAATTTGTAGAAAATAAAACAATCTATAATACATAATTTGTAGAAAATAAAGCCATCTGTACTACATATATTGTAGGGAAAAAGCAGTAAGACTTTAGAAAGGAGCTCAGACGCAGTTTTTCACATAGAAGTGACATGGGAAGTAAGACATGAACATGAGAAGCCATACACTGGGAGAGGTGGTAAGAAACCCAGCATCTGGAAAGAAAATCGAAAGGAAAGGGCGAGGAGTCAAGGTTCCCCGCAGGGAACAGAAGGGCCTGCCCTCCGATCACCCCTCCTGATGGCATGTTAACTCCCTACGCACAGGCACTGGAGCAAACCCACCTTGGCTGCCGGGAAGACTCCATAGGAGGGGTTTGCAGAAATCACCATGAAGGAGCCATCCTCAGGGTGCAGACAGCTGTGGGCTCTGCCAGCGAGTGTGCTGGGGACAGCATGGGGAGCAGGTCCTCAACCATGTATTGGAAAGCTTCATTGATGTAATTTTAATTTTTTTGTAGATTTTTTTTTGCAACAAAAATGACACCCGGTGCCTCTCCAAGTCTCACCAGAACAACTCTACGCGCCATGGTTTGGCGGAAGACAGCTGCCATCGTTCAGACAAACACTGTGATGATGGGAGGAACCCTTGCTTCTCCGACCCCCGTCAAGGAGACGTCACTTGTGTGAACACTCCGGGAGAAGGCAGCTTTTTGTGCCAATGTCCTCCCGGGTGTCATGGGACCACCTGTGGAACTGCTGTGGGCTCCTGCGGCCTGAGCTGCTGCCAACGCCGGGGCCTTGGACCCGTCCAGCCTGTGCCCTGCGGGCTGCGCCGGAAGGTTCTGTGAGCCAGAAGGCAATGAGCGTGCCTCCGGCCCTTGCCACCACAGGGCTGTGTGCCAGGGTGGCATGGATGGCTCCTCCTGCGTCTGTGTCCCAGGATATCGAGGCCAGCACTGGGCCCTGGGGAGCAGGAATGCATCTCAGGTCCTTGCAGGAACGGGGCCATGTGCCTCGATGAGGTCGCAGGATACACTTGGCTTTGTCCCTGAGATTATTCTGGTAAGGGTGATGACTTGAGGAACCCAGGGGATGTAGTTCCCTTCCTCTTTCTCTTATAAGACAGAAGCGGAGGTGACATTTGATGTCCCATCCAATTGCTTAGGGGCGTGGTCTGGACAGGAATTAATCACTAGATAGAAAGCTTCCCAAACTACTAAGAACCCACCCAGCTTAGAGGTTTGTGTCCTGTTACTGTTGTTCTAAGTGGAGCCCTACATTAATTAAAATTTAGATTCGTTCTGGAATGAGTGGGTTTGGGGGGCCCAAGCTATCCAGGTCAGAGCAGGTGAGGTTTCCTCATCAGGGCAGATGCCTTTCGTCCTGGCTCACGTGTGCCCTCTGCTGCCCAAATCCTGACATTGCAGCCGGCTGGGAGGGCTTGTATCTGGGTGGATGGTGCAGGTTGGTGGGGTTCTAGTGCTGAAGTGTGATCCACAGACCGACGGTAGCAAGGCTGGTGGTGCACAGTCAGTAAGACAAACCACGGCTTTATCAAGAAAGAAGTCCCATGGAAATTGCAAGTAAAGGTAGCGTGTGTGTGTGTTTTTTTCCCCAAACATAGCATCTTGGAAACTCTAAGATGGGTTACTCTGAATTAAGCTTTATATATATTTCACTACTGCCTTCGCTCCTGGATAATATTTTGTGGAAGAACTGGACAATGAAGAAGTTTCTGTTTCTTAGCGAATCAGCCCCAGAACTGCTGCTCACTGCAGACATTCCGTTTCTATCCCTACATGCGGTTATCACGATGGGGCACCGTGCTTAATAACACTGGTCACGAATGAATGTTTCCAGATAGAATGGACCGCACGGTTCAGGCAGGTTTTTGAAGGTCAATTAATTGTACATATGGAATGGCTAGAAGCACGTGACAGTCAATATCCAAATGAAAACTAAAAGTCGAAGTTACCCAGATGCTTTATCTGCGAAGCCAAACATCTGGAAATACAAAAAACATCTGGATGTCTGACTGTCCTTATCACTTCTCATCCAGCTATTTCGGCGTCATGCACAGAGACCAAAGACTTCTATGTCAGTAGCATTGATAAGCTAGCACAAAAATGTTAATATTAAGAGTAATACAAATAAATCCTCCCGAAGTGAACAGCTGTTTGCACTGAAATTGTAACTCAGCTATTGAAACACATTCTTACACCTTGCGTGAGGATCACTCGGAAACCAAAGTAGTTGAACTGCAACACAGAAATGTAGCTTCAGTACTTAAATGATGGTTCATAATGTATCTCGTCAGCATTAGGAAGTAAGCTGGGTGTATACCAGATGGATATATACATTTTATTTAAAAAATAAAATTCATAAGAGTGTCGTTTTATACCACTTTGGTGTTCTATGCTAATACTTCCCAGCACGTAGATGACTGAGATCCCAAAATACAAAATCTACTGTAGGCGAAGGCACAGTGGACGGGGCTGGCACAAACACTGTCACTTACTGGCGGGCACAGGGCAGCCGGCGTACCTTCCGCATACCCGGCGAACGTGAGAGGAGGCACGTGACATAGCCGCCCAACCCTCAGCCGTAGGCCTTTAATTAGCGCCAATGCCCTCCACTCACAGAGCACTGTGGGAAATCACCCAGGGAGCACTGTGGGAAATCACCCAGCGAGCACCGTGGGAAATCGCCCAGCGAGCACCGTGGGAAATCACCCAGCGAGCACCGTGGGAATCCTCCCAGCGAGCACTGTAGGAAATCACCCAGAGAGCACTGTGGGAATCCTCCCAGCGAGCATTATGGGAGATCACCCAGCGAGCATTGTGGGAAATCACCCAGCGAGCACCGTGGGAATCCTCCCAGCGAGCACTGTAGGAAATCGCCCAGCGAGCACCGTGGGAATCCTCCCAGCGAGCACTGTAGGAAATCACCCAGAGAGCACTGTGGGAATCCTCCCAGCGAGCATTATGGGAGATCACCCAGCGAGCATTGTGGGAAATCACCCAGGGAGCACTGTGGGAAATCACCCAGCGAGCACTGTAGGAATCTGCCTAGAGAGCATTATGGGAGATCACCCAGGGAGCATTATGGGAGATCACCCAGCGAGCATTGTGGGAAATCACCCAGGGAGCACTGTGGGAAATCACCCAGCGAGCACTGTGGGAAATCACCCAGGGAGCATTATGGGAACCCTCCCAGAGAGCACTGTGGGAAGTCGCCCAGAGAATGCTGGGAACCCCGTTCGCTGAACCTTCCAGTTTGAGCACAATTCATGCTCCTTGAAGTCATGGCTGATTAGTGTCGTTTTTGGGGAGGTAATTTTGTACCTTACAACTACTGAGTCCTAACACCTAGTTCTAGTGGCTACATATGCTAAAAATTAACTATAGGGAAAACATACTGTAAAGAATGTATCGTTTCTGCCTTTCAAGCGCTCAGCGCTCCTGGGAAGTGGAAGAGGGACCTCGATGGCATTCCTTTAGGGCAGAAACAAAGGCGGTGAACGATGTGATGTGGGGAGGCCTGTCAGAGGGACAAGGGGGAGGGCCGGGTCCTCCCGATGGGGGACAGCATGTCAGAGGGACGAGGGGGAGGGCCGGGTCTTCCCGATGGGGGACAGCATGTCAGAGGGACGAGGGGGAGGGCCAGGTCTTCCCGATGGGGGACAGCATGTCAGAGAGGCGAGGGGGAGGGCCAGGTCTTCCCGATGGGGGACAGCATGTCAGAGGGACGAGGGGGAGGGCCGAGTCTTCCCGATGGGGGACAGCATGTCAGAGGGAGGAGGGGAAGGGCCGAGTCCTCCCGATGGGGGACAGCATGTCAGAGGGGCGAGGGGGAGGGCCGAGTCTTCCCGATGGGGGACAGCATGTCTGAGGGGCGAGGGGGAGGGCCGGGTCCTCCCGATGGGGGACAGCATGTCTGAGGGACGAGGGGGAGGGCCGGGTCTTCCCGATGGGGGACAGCATGTCTGAGGGACGAGGGGGAGGGCCGGGTCTTCCCGATGGGGGACAGCATGTCAGAGGGACGAGGGGGAGGGCCAGGTCCTCCCGTGGCCGTCCGGACACAGGATGAAACAGCGAGTCCCCTGCACAGGCAGAGCAGGGAGCAGCCGCCCCGACAGCGAGCCCTCCCCGGGCAGCCCTGTTCACAGCCTTCTGTTCTCACTGAGCACCGTGGACCTTGACGTTTCTCTTCTGCAAAGCAGGAGGTGAAGCTGCCGCCTCTCGCCCGTCGCAGGCCTGTGTGGTCGCCACCAGCCAGCAAGGCCGCGTAGCACCGTCTGCGGCCTGTTCTATCAGGAGGCGCCGAAGCCACCAAACTGTTGACATCTTGTGAGCTGGAAGTCCCTCCGTGGTATCTCCACCCAGAATCCATCACTCCGCCTTTCGGCACAGAGATAAAGACGGGTAAACACAGCTAGTCCCCTTTTGCTCTTAAACCTGTGCCCAGATTTGGTGACCGAGTGTCAGATGTTACTTTGACAGATCCGGCAGGGTGGTTTGTTATCTCAGTGCGAGTGTGACCGCTTTTATAAATTCTAAACTTATTTAAAGCGTATTAAACTTAAGCTTAGTAAGTAATTTTCGTCTACTAGTTTTAGGGGGTACACGTAGACTTTTTAAAATGGTGCCATCACCTTAAAATAAAGAAGCTTCTAATACCACCAACTGCCTTAAGTCACAAACTGATTTTCTATTTAAAACTAGTATCTTAAAAGCCGGCAGGAAATCTAAACTTGCACGTCTATGTGGGTGGAGCACCTAAGGAAAGACCACGGTTGGTGTTTCTATGATAAACGTCTGTGGGAGGAACAGGTATTGTTTTTGTTCTCTGGCAAACACTCGGCATGAACCAAGTACTATTCTAAACACTTCAGAGCACAGTGCGCTTGAAACAATAATCCCGCGATAGTGTTACACTGTCAGTTCCACTTGGGGGGTAAGAAAACAGGGACAAGCAGAGGTGAAGAACTTGCCCAGAGTCACCCTGTAACTAAGGAGCTGTGTCGAGAGCCCAACCCAGGCCGTCTGGCTTGGAGTCTGAGCTTTTATCCGCTGCTCTATTTAATGCCCAACAAAAGTAAGTGTTTAAACACAATTTAGAAACATTGACCAGTCCCTTCGAGGCTGCCAACAAAAGCACCTTAACAACAACTTGCCCTACAGATGACTTGTCACCACAGACTGAGCTGCCACGCGCTGTCCTAGGCGGTGGCTCCCCGTGGCAGCTGCTCTGTATCCCCTCGAGCACATACAACTAAGGCGGAAGCGGATTTGGGGTAACACTGTATTTGACAGAGCTTTGGGGCAAACGAAGCATTGCCGAAGGCCTAAAACGTAAACACTTGGCTGAAACTTTTCTTGTTTTCCTCTGCTGACTTTTTTTTCAAGATGTCAACTGTGAACTGGAAGGTGATGAATGTTGGTCCCAGCCCTGCCTAAACGGAGCCGCTTGTCAGGATGCTCTGGGGGCTGTTTCTGTGACTGTGCCCCTGGCCTCCTCGGTCACCACCGTGGGCTCCACGCTGACGGGTGTGCCGCTCAGCCGCGTCTCCACGGGGCGCTGTGTGTGGATGAGACGGGTAGGTGTGCGCCGGTGTCGGGGTGACTGGCTTGGAACTCATTGCCCAGGAACTATTTGGAGATCTCGCAAACTGGAGTTAAAAATTTTAGATCATTTTATACTTTGAAGAAAAGTTGTAATGTTGAGGATTTACAGAAGAAATGCATCCTTCATTGGTCATCTGCGTCAAGAGTGAGGATTTGCGGAGTCGCTCCCGTAATGCTTTGGAACTGCTGATACTACAGAAACGCCCACTTGCCATTCCCGCGAAATAACCCTGTTGTAGAAAGGGAAGGCATAAAAACAGGTCAGGGTGAGTCCACGTGTGAATTTAAGGTCACATTCATGTACTAACAGGCATAGAAATCGAGTGATGAAAAATTAATCCCTGAGGAATTTTACATCAACAGTGTTGAAAGGGCAGTGCTATTAAATTAACTATGTCTTGCATTTTCAAGTGTGTGGGGAATTGGGTGACTGCTTCTGAGATGGCAGAATGGTGAGAAGTAGCCGCGGATTCTGCTTGAGGTAGATTCTATCGTTGGCTTTTCTGCAACAAACAAACCAACAACAAATTACACCTTCATACGATGTGTGTGATAAATTTGGGTAATGGTAGCTGAGTTCATATAAAACGTTTTACAAATAATCTTTCTCATATTTAGGCCACAAGTATCGAGTTATCAAATACATAACCATTTCAGCCGCGTGAGCACCTCTCAGGTCCTGTCGGAGTCTCCAGCGTCCAGTGGAAGGCAGGATGGTCATTACTGTCCCCACACTGCGAGACTCTCCAGTTCAGAGACGTAAGGATTCTCCTACAAGTTCACACAGTTAACTGTTTGCAAAGGAAGGACTAGAATCCAGCTTCCCTTTGTTTGATGAACCAGACAGAGTTCGTCCCAAATCTGAACTTGGACGTGAGCCGGACTTGGCAGGATGGCAGGGGGAACCCACGAGCTGCAATCGTGTCAGTGAATAATGATTCTAAGTAGAGTGGTGTCGTTGTCCATCTCTTCTATAAAGTATTAAGCATAACTTTTATTTACAAAATAAGTTTTTATTGATTTTTAGAGAGAGGGGAAGGGAATGAGAGATAGAAACGTCGATGTGAGGAAGAAACATCATCGGCTGCCTCCAGCACGCCCCCTACTGGGGATCAAATCAGCAACCCGGGCATGTGCCCCGACTGGGAATTGAACCGGGACCTCTCAGTCCAGGGGACGATGCTCACTCCACTGAGCTACATCGCTGGGCTAAGCATAACTTTTAATCACATTCCTGTCTTGCCTCTGCCTCCCCATTCATTCCCCAGGGGCAAGAATGCACACTCCCGGAGGCAGGTGACTGGCAGACGGGTACACGGAGCCGGGAGTGTGCACACGGGGCTCAGAGGAGGAGGAGGCCCCCTTGGCTGTGCTCACTGTCTCCGGGGAGCTCCAGGGCAGAACCTGCAGGAAGCTCGGGCTCCTAAGGAGACGCCCAGAGAAGGCCGACCTCACCACATTTCCTCTCCTTACCTAAGTGTGCTGTGAATAATTTTTCTATCTCATCCTTACCTCTGTTACCACGGAGGCTTTGAGAAGATCATCACCGGTCCACAACCACAAGCGGACCTCACTTCCCCACAACAAGAAAACTTCCTTTTGCTCGGAGGTGTATGGGAAAGTCACAGACTGTCCCCCAGTAAAAGGTTCCTGCAGATCACAGGACTGTGCAAATGGAGCCCAGAGGTCCGTGGATTGAGGTCCGCTGGCCAGCATGGAGCTCGGGGCTCTGTCTCTAAAGACTGACGTAGAGAAGACCTTCAGGGAGCTCTTTAATTAACTAAACGCAAGAGTGCATGGAGGGTTCCAACCAGCAATGCACATAAAAAGTATACTCACTTATTACATGTGCTAATGCTTCACTTTCCTCAGTGAAATCTTCATCCCTGTGTTTGCTGATCAACATGCACTCAAGCCGCGGCGACCAGGAATCTAACTCTTCATAAGCTCACAGGGGTCCTTTCCCCCAGACCCTCGTTTTGTCTCGGCCGAGTGCGAGCCGGTGTTTCACAACTCGGCATCCTGGAGGAGCTCCTCCAAGTCAAGCTCCTCTTGATAAAGTCAGCAACTCTCCCCGAGGGCTTTGCGTTTGGCTCTGTCAGCTAATCCTGCTCCATCACTGCACGATTAGAAATAGCAAGACTAAAATATTCTTGTAATCGAAAAACAAGAGAACATAAGTCACCACTCATATAATGAGGGCCTTTCCTGCTTTTTTCATAATTTATTGTTTCATTTTTCATAAGGGACCTTATTAATAGGCTCTCTATATAAAAGAGTAACACAGTGATATAACTCACTCTCTGCTGCCTTCACAAATATTAACAACTTTATTTAGTACTGTGCATTAGTAATTTATGCAGTATTTCTCATGCTTGAGATACCATGTCTACTCTTTGTATGCACATTTAATTATCACAATAACCCTATGACATAGGTACTATTATCTTCAATTTATGATGAGGAAACTGAAGTGAGCAATCATGGTTTCCAAATAATTTTTCAGGAAAAATTAAAACACTAAAACTGTAGTTTAAAAGAGCATGAGATATTACTATGGAGACGCGTAATGCTTTGCAGCTTATAGAGATAATTCCCCAGGGTTTTTGAGGTAAATATTAAAAACATACCATGGTCTTGGGCCGATGGACCAGCAAAGAGGCAGAGTAAAGATATTTGATCTCAATATGACCAAGAGCTGATGGGATCATTTTATTCGACTCTCCGGATACCGCGGTACCTTCACGGGTAGTGGCCTCACAGGGATGCTCTGTGAGACACACCCTGAGGTCTCCATGCTGGTCAGAGCCCTGTCACGATGATGCTACCTGGCAGTCACGCCTGCCACTGCGGACCTGGTAGGTGACAAACCATCCTCCACCATTTTTTTTCTTCTTCTTACACTAGAAACAAATTACAGCAAATAGAAAGGGAACATTTCTTATGCTAACGGGTTAAAACCCCCTCTTGGTTATCGTTGTCTACTTTAACTGTGTTCTCCAGGGCTCACACACGCCTACTGCTGCTCTGCATTGTCTACAGTAGGTTACCAAGCCGCCCACGCAACAGAATAGTCTAGAAGAAACAGGAAAAGCATCGGCAGAAGGACCCATTTTAGCCATTCAGAGAGGAAAATTCACTAGAAGATGCCTTCTTTTCCTCCAAGATGTTTTCTTTGACACCTACAATAGCTTAACACCCACGAAACAATATTAAAATCGTGGGCTCCTGTATTACGTACAATTCGTGGGATCAGTCAGCATGATTACAGTGGTCCCCGTAGAGGGTGTAGAATGATGTTCCGGAATTGGAGTATTCTCCCAAGCGTTTATAATGTAAATGCGAATACAAGTTAAACATACACTGTAACTAAAAATCCCTCAGGAAGGCTGATTGGACCGTGTGTACAGGTGATATCAGAATCTGCAGAAGACCCTTGAATGCTTGAGCCATTGGGCCACCTGTAAATATTTACGTTAGTTTTGGCAAACAACCCGCCTGACCTCATTTTAGCCTAATTCTCACTGGGATTTCATTGACAGAAATGTAAAAGCATTTCTCCACTCTTCTTTCCTGGTCCACTGGGAAAAGTGACACCCTTACGACTATTTAAAATCTAGTCGCTCGCGCTGAGCTTCCTGATAGGGTCACTCTCCCCGGTTCATTCTGTGTCTAAGGAAAGGACAACCCTGTGGTCGGAGAGAAAGCAGGAAGCTTGGGGTCCATCCCGTCACTAGTAGCTTCTCATCGAAAGACACCCCACTGCCTAGGGGACATTTAACACACTTTGCTTAAGTATATTTTGTGGGTCAAACAAGCAAGCATGAGAGTACAAAGGAAGTCAGGGGTTTCTTCTGTGGCTCAGAAATCTGTGCATCATGTGCCTCCACCCCAGACACTGAGTAGGCACAGCTGTTACCCTCTGGTCATGGCTTGAACTAAGTTCAGGACATTTCTGAACCGTGTTGTTCCACATTCTTGTCATTGACCAACGGCCAACGTTCAGTGAGCCCTCCCAGCAGGACACCCTCTAAGGAGGGGGAGCTGCCTCTTTTATTTTTATTTTGTGTCTTTATTAATTTAGAGAGAGATGGAAACATCAATGAGAGGGAACATCGATTGGCTGCCTCCTGCATGCCCCCCACTGGGGATGGGACCCACAACCTGGGCACGTGCCCTGACCAGGAATCAAACCGGTAACCTCTTGGTGCAGGGTCAACGCTCAGCCACTGAGCCACACCAGCCGGGTGTGAGTTGCCTCTTAATTCTTACGTTCCTCCTCTGTAAATGAGGGGTAAAAAAAACCCAAAACGATTTGTAGTATTGTTGTTGGGAGGAGTGAAGTTATAAAAATGGAGCCTGGCACCTCTCCGGTCCTCACGAAATGGTGCCTGTCACTACGACATACTGAGTTCTCCACCTGGAAGGGGACTTGTCTGTGAGACATGGTGTGTTCCCTGGAGGGTCTGAAATGGAGCCAGGCGGTTAGGAAGACCCGCCTGTGAAAACAGACCAGTCTGCGCTCCGCTCGTCCCTGGGTTCAGCCCGTCGAGCCACATGGACTCCAGTGTCCATATCAGGGATCCAGAATAAAAGGACGTGGTCCCCCCCTGGCTGGTGCAGCTCAGTGGATGGAGCATCGTCCCAGGGACTGAGAGGTCCTGGTTCGATTCCCGGTCAGGGCACATGCCTGGGTAGCAGGCTCCATCCCCAATAGGGGGCGTGCAGGAGGCAGCCGATCAATGTTTCTCTCCCACATCACTGTTTCTCTCTGTCCCTTCCTCTCTCTCTAAAATATCAATAAAAACAGATTAACAACCAGAAAAAGACATAGCACCTCCTTTTAAGGAGCACAGTGGGAAAAAATGTGTCCAGTACAATTGTGGGTGCAATAAAGAGTTCCAGGACATTCTGCAATGGGGAACAGGGCAGAAGTACCGCGATGGCTTGACCAAGGAGGTGCCATTTTAGGGAACTTGAAAGATCACTAAGCACATCCCAGAAATGTGACTTTGGACAAGTTCCTTGACTGCTCCGTGCCTGAGTTCCCTCGTCTGTGCAGCACTGGTGATACCCACATCCACCCCGGAAAGCTGTTGTGGAGATAAGTTCAGGAATAGACCTGAAGCTCCCACAGTAGGCATTGCCTAGGTGCCCAGGTTAGGTGATTGGCCTTTGCAGACCCGGTGGCTGGCATGTAGTAGCCCAGTACGGACTTAGGGAAAGACACGAGCAGGGCAAAGAAGAAGGAAGAAAGGGCAGCAGGCGGGGGTGGGGGTGGGGTGCACGCCCAGCTGTGTGCCACGGAGTGATGGGTCAAACGTGTCCGCAGGGCTTGTGGGCCCCCCACAACCACCGGCCAGGGAAGCGACGCAGTCTGACCTGCTTCCTGGCACTTTGGTGGAAGGCGATGGACAGAAGTAACCCTGAGGGCAGGAGCCTGGAAAAGGAGTCGCGCCTGGGCTTTAACAACGTGGCTTTAACAACGCGAGGCCCACTTGCAGAAGGACGGTGACCGGTGAGTGGAGCTGAGGGGATGGTGCCCTGAGGGTCACTGAGGACCTCGACAGGAGGTGGGGATTAAGAAAGAGGCACAGCCCTGGCCGGTTTGGCTCAGCGGTTAGAGCATCGGCCTGCGGTCCCGAGAGACCCGGGTTCGGTTCCCGCTAAGGGCACGTACCTCGGTTGCAGTTTGTCCCCGGCCCTGGTTGGTCGTGCGGGTGGCAGCCACTCGATGTGTCCCTTTCACATCGATGTTTCCCTCTCTCTCTCTCCCTCCTACTCTATCTGAACAAAAAATGTTCTCGGGTGAGGATAAAAAAAAAAAAAGAAAGAAAGAAAGGGGCACAGATTGGACAGTTTTGCTTCTGACTTTCTTGGGCCACTGGGTGGACGGTGACCCTGCCTACGCAGAACACGCAGAGTGCCTTTGTGGCGTGGTCCCACTGTCACGCACAGGAGAGGCCTCAACGTGACAGGCTGCTCCCCGTCTAGGAGATCAGCACACCCTCGGGTCGCGAGACCACTGCCACGGAACTCCAGGCAAGAATCCACTGCGCTGAGTGGGGTCCTCCTCTCCAAAGTAATTAATTACAAGAAGTGCCAGTCACCTTACATGCTTATCTTAAAAGTTTTCCCGTTCCCCAGATAACATTGGATTTGTTTAAAAAAAGAACTGTAGTGCCCTGGGGGACTTGATTCAGTATCACATTGTTGCTGTGTACAGAGTTTGCAGAAACCCTTGTTCAAGCTATTGAACGCGGCCCCCTGGAGGAGGCTATTTATACATGTGGCTAAAGGGAAGTGCAGGCGAAATCCCCACAGGGGCCCGGTGGTGGGGACAGGGCTGGCACGACCATAAATCAGAGCCGTCCGAATGCTCACGGTAGGAATACGATGATGCATGAACCGGAAAGCAGGAGTGGATTTATGAGGGTTCTGAGCGCCTTCCCGGGCCGGCCTATGTGGGAGTCTGGAGACTGCGAATGAGAAGAAAATTGAAAATAGTTGGGGCTTTCTTCCCGAAGTCCACTGCAGCACACCAAACACCAGTGTATAAAAACTCGTGGAAACCGTAGACTATTTGTCTATCCTCGGATAGGAAACAGAAGTATTGCAAAAGGAGACATTCCAGTTGGGGAGGCTGAGGGTTCTGGGCAGGAGGGTCGCCAGGAGGGGTTGTGGGATCCCGATCTCACATGTGCATTTTGTTTCCGTTTCCAACTCTAACTTTCTTCTTCAGATGGTTGAGAAAGGCCCCAAGGGTCACGTGTCACAAATGCATTATACTGGTGAGCGACAAATTTATGTTGCGGTTACAATTGGACGTATGACCCCATTCAGGTTTTCATTAAAATTCCGAATTAGCCATCATATCATATTCTCATTATTTGCTTATTAGGAGTCAATTCTCTCGTTTATTTGCTAAACTAGGATTATATTCTAAATGGTTGATTAATACTACCGGAGTGGCATTCGGTTGCTCATGGAAGGTCGTCTATGTACATTTGCTCGGGACTGGAGTGGTGAATAAAGACACAAAGTCCCTGATTTTGT